GAGCATGCTGGTCGTTGTACCCTCAGCTTATGTCCTTTCCCTGTTCCAGCTGGATGCTGCTGGTGGGGACACGGGATGGGATGGCCTCACTGTGCCAGCCAGTGGGTCCCCATGTCATGGGGGAGAAAGGAAAGGAGCTCCACACGGAGATAGTATTATCTGCAGCCGCCCTGCGTAGCATGTAGTTCTGCCCTTGGCATTCCCCACGTTCCTTCCTCCTGATCCACCACTGCTTTCAACTGTTCAACATCTTGAGGGTATTTTTAATTTTCTTTTCTTTCACCCCCCCCCGGCAACCATTTATACATCTAGGTGCTGCAATGGGTGTTAATTTGTCCCTCCTCTCTCCATACTGCCAAATGTAACAAATCTATATAAACAAGCTTGAGTAAAATAAAATCTCCTGGCTTCTAAATGGTGTTTAAATATGCATTCATTTTAACCTACTGAACAACTTAACTGGAATATTTCTAAACAGCATGAACAGGTGTAACGGCAGCATGATTAACCCTCACAAGCCTAGGGGAGAAAAATATGTCAGCACTTCCAATGTGTCGTTCGACAGTGTTATTTATGTTATTTATATGAGCTAACAAACAAACAGAAGGCCTGTGTTTCATCATAATAGAAAAATATTTTATTTGTACTGTTGTATAAAATATTATACAATCATATAGAATATATAGATGGCATTTTAATAGCAACTGTACACATGTCATGACAGCATTTTTCCCTTATCAAAGATGTAGTTTGTAAACTTCAAATAACTTGTGTATCTGTTCCTGTTGCTCTGACATGAGTTTTAATTAAAACAGATTTATGAAGGAGACCATTCTGGTTCAGTTATAAATGATGCAGCCAACGACACTGAAACATCAATTGCCATACAAACAAACAAACATACAAACAAACAAAAATCCACTTAGTTTAGTCATGGGACACGGACCTTTCCCAAATCATTAAAAGATTCCTCCCCTCCCCCCCTTTTTTTTAAGAAATCATGCTTCAACTTTTACATATCGGGACCTACAGACAAGGTTGGTGGATAATGGAATTCATCAAATGCCTTTCTTTATGACACTATAGCAGAAGGAGTAGTAGACCAGGGGTCTTCAACCTTGACAACTTTAAGCCTGGTGGACTTCAACTCCCAGAATTCAAAGTGGGCTGGGTGGGGAATTCTGGGAGTTGAAGTCCACCAGGCTTCACCAAGGTTGAAGACTCTTGCAGTAGACCCTGTCCACCTTTGGCACAAAGCTCTGGTTCTTGGAGAGGTGTCTCCCTGGGCTTTCTCGCCATTTCTGATGTTTGTGAAATCACCACCCTCCACACACGAACATCTCAGCTGGTCCTGTCCTCGCCCACATCTCTCTTTGCCTGTGGGAATCTTCCTTCATTTGTGTGCCAGAGTGACAAGACCAAGGGCTCTGCCTCTCCTTTTTGTGCCATTGTTACAAAAAGATGAACCCCGAAAGCTAAAGACAGTCTTGCATCTCTTCCTGGAGTCTTCTTTGAATCTGGTTGCCATTAAACCTGTGTTTCTTATGAAGCCTCCTGATTGTCCACCTCAGACTCAACCATCCTCCATGTCGAAGTGATCTATTTTAAGCTGCGAGAATAACTACCTTATAAAATCTATTCCTTTTCAACCTCTAGCCTATAGTAAACCAAATTAGAAAACAGTAACCCAACCATCCGCCATTCATAACCATGACACTTAGGTTAAATATCTGCATACATCATAATGCAATAAACTATTATCACTATAACAGAGTACCTTGGGCGATCGTCACACGTGAAATATTAAGATCCTACAAAGTGCATGCTTTCAAACAAGCTTTGGTAATCATAAAAAGCAACATTTTATAGTATTGTGCTACAGAAAAGTGCTACACAAATAAAGACTAGAATGGACCACCAAGTAGTTCGTTTCATTTTGGTTACTATCAACCAAGTCCTGGAGGTTTTTTTTTTTTCTTGAAGAGGATGGGGTAGTTTACAACTCCAAACCCTGAAATGTATTGGCTACTCTTTCCTGTTTAAGGGTTTTTCCACACACACACCCATAAGCGCCTAATCTTCCTTCTTTAAAAACTCTGCCTTTTCAAAATATATGGATTTTCGCTGCTTAATTTCTGCGCTAAACATATACTAAGCACACCTTTTTAGCCCATGACCTTTTCCTGAATAATTTGCACCCTTTTGAATTCAACCCCTTGTGTTTGGTGGTGCATGGAAAGGTCAAAACAGAAATGCTACAGGAATTAAAATGAGAGAAGTGTTTGGTCTGATCCCCATTAATCTGATTAAAACGTCTTAGGCCGAGAGTGGCCAGAAAGGAACAAGTTGCTATGGTCTTCATTTTTGTCACGCAGAAGCTTCACAAAATCTTGCCATTCTTCACCAGAGTTTAAACTCCTTTTATGAAATCTTTCCTACTGTCTCAGTATCTGTTGTATGTTCCTTACCAAAGCTGAAAAGTCACTTCGTTGGTAAATGAATATTCTTCCCACTCCCCACAGATATGAGATAGGAAAACTGCTGTGTGGCCTGCATTTATTTATTTTTAGCTCCTTGCATAAATACATTATTCTCAAAAGGGATGGCACGTAACTCTGACCTCTTAAGCACTTATCTTTTCTATTCCTCAAAATAAACTAATGCCAGATATTGGTGAATATCAAGCAGAGTTCCACCAAATCACCTCTCATTTTAACATTTACTTTCGGAAATAGTATAGAGAGGAACAATTATTTGTATTGTTTTGCTCTTGAGGAAGCTATTTTATCCAGTGACTCTGGATATGACCAGTGGTCACTTTATCTGTTGGCTGTGACAATTCTTGTGTTTCTGTTGAGCTCATGAGCAAAGCAAGCATCTCAACATTCATCAGAAAACACAAACAAATGGACACACCCAACCGGGCAAAACAGAAGCATGGAGAAATAAGGTCCAAAATCAGAACGAAGGATAATGAAAATGAGAACCACCATGGTGAAGTATCTTACCACTGAGTGTGGAAAGCCAACAACATACATAAACACACTGCAGGATTTAGACTCTGTATCCACTCCAAAGATTTGACTGATTAGGAGCATATAGTTCGTGAGGGTGAATTTCTCCTGCTGTTGCTTTCAGCCACATTACAATCGAAGCACCGAGAAACTGACAATACCTGTGTCACAACCCATCCCAAGAAGGAGGAAGCTTCCACCATTAAGATAGTGAACGTTGTTGCATCTTAAAAGCTGTTTTGCTGCAAAGCAATCAAAGCATATTTACCCACTAAACTAATTCCAACCGTGGGTGAGAGATTTGTTCTGGAAGGTGCATGGTAATATCTAATTTAAAAGAACATTAAAATAATTGGATACGTGCACTTTTATTCTGTTCTTACAGGCATTTTTGTCTACAACACTTCTCCATATATGAGTTTCTCCTCAAAGAATTCTCACCCAAAGATGGGGGAGTTCTGGAAACTGAAGATATCTGGGGTAGGGAGGGGACTTGTTTAGTGAAGACTGTATATATGACTTTATCATGTGCACCTTTAGTTCACATTGTTTTCTAGTTGATTATAATGAGTTACAGGTACCCAGACCAATTTTAAGGCACAGGTCTAAATTTCCAAAGTATCTCCTCAAGATCTTGGTCTACAATTGTCATAGTCTTTAGGGATGATGAAGTTTAATGTGATCCATCATCAAGACACAAGTATGGGGAAGATTGTGATAGACAAGTATCACAAACAAACTTTGCTTGAAACTTTGAATTCATACCTAAAATAGCCCCACTAACATGCTTAATATAGAGGTTCACTCCCTCCCTCCCCCCTCTTTGCCCTTCCATATCGGAATGACCTTCTCCTAAAGAAATATCAAAGGATAGCCCTGAGCCATTAAAAAGCAGCCAATAACTTAATTCCCAATTACAAAGGGAATGACATGCATGCCAACATGCACAATGCCAAACCAAAACAGATTTCTACAGCTGGGGAGGGGATGAACCTTCCAAGCTTGCAGGAATAGTTTTAAAAGTCACTTGGAACAGGATGCGGTCACAGAGCTGACCTTGGAGAGGCTAAACAGAAGGGATGGGTGGAAAAGCAATGTGTTAAACATGGGAAATGGACTGATTCTTCCCTACTTCACGAGAGTACAGGAAAGGGGATGGGAAAGGAAAAAGGCAAAAGTCTCACCCTCTCACTCTCACTCTCTCAACAAAGGATGGATGCAGTCAGACTTCACCTGATCAGTCTCAAAAGACTGACAGGTAGGCACACGGCTGGCAACTGGCAAGTATTATCACTCCCTTGCTTCGCTTCCATCTCTGACCTCTCAAGGAGGAGAAACCGAGCTCTCTACCTGGGGTTCCCTTCCTCAATGCGACATCTTGGGGCTTCTGGAATCACTTTTCAGTTGATCCTTTCCTGCAGCCAATTTTCAGGACCAGAAGGGGAGAACTTGCATGCAGAAGGACAAGGAAGGGATAATATGGGAGGGGAAGAGGGGAAGTCCATATTTCTCATACCCCAAGCAGGATCTTCTAAACCACAGGTGAGAATATCCACAGTGTAGTCCTTCATATGGCATTAGATCCTCCCTGGACATTTATAGAGCAGATGGGGCTGGTGGAATTTGGTTCCCAGAAGCTTCCCACAGGCACCTTAAACCCAAAGGAGCATGGGTCCTTCTTGGTTTTATGGGACAGATGGGGAGGTATGGTTTTCCCAAACCCTGGCTCTGGGATGGAAGAGAATTAGTCAGCACACCTACATGCACACTTAAACTCGCACACAAATGCAAATGTATTTTTAGAACCCCAAGTGATTGTGGAGGCTGTATAAACTACACTTCTAGAAGTGGTGGGATTCAATTTTTTTTACTACCGGTTCTGTGGGCGTGGCTTGGTGGGCATGGTGTGGCTTGGTGGACATGGCAGGGGAAGGATATGCTGCAAAATCTCCATTCCCACCCCACTCCTGGGGGAAGACTACCACCGATCCCCGAACTACTCAAAAATTTTCCAAAACTGGTCAGAACCTGCTGAATACCATCTCTGACTTCTAGTATTTTTGTTTCAGCAGAATGGCTTCTATGATAAAGCTCAGACCAATTTTATAAAGCCCGAAAGCAGTACTGAAGTGTCCAAGAGAGAAATTAGTCCACTTTTCATGACGTTTTCCCTATAAGTCCATGTTTGTACACTCTTAGTAGACAGCACAATGCAAATGGGAGAGAACTCCAGCACTCAGCCAAAAGTAGTTGTACACTTTGTGCAAAATCAAGAAACTAAGCTAATCTAGTTAGCTGCCCGTAGAGTCAATAGTTCAGAAAATAACCTGTTCCTTCAGCAAGTAAGAGTACAATAACCCACTCAGCTATTTTCCAAAGGATGCCCTCCCTGTCTGAATCAAACATTCCTGTTCTCAGTGCTTCTCCACCACTTCCACAGCCTGGATGGAACATTCTACGTGTCTTTGTAGCATCCAGAACCTTCCCCCAGAGTCCATGAGTGGCAGAGCAGAACAAGGCCACTTTGGGAAGGAGGCACCTCTAGAACATCAATTGACCCAAGGCTTAACTAAAGTGTAAGCCTCTGCAAATGTGTAGAGATGACTCTCCAATTGCTCGGCTTCTCAATACTAACCCATCAAAAGGCATTAAGTCATAATCCACCCAATCCCTATTTAAGAAAAGTCAGAAGTGGTAAAAACAGAGAATGCAGATATGCTGATGTCCACAACAGAGAGGAAAACTGCAATATAAACACTTCAGCTGGATAAACACAAAACTGATCCAGCTTTGGCAGCAACCTTGCACACAAAATTCTCTCTACAGCAAGCTGAAATCTGCAAACAACTGCATTTTCTAAAAATTTCCTTCAATGTGCACAGAACAACAATTCACCCACCCTTTTAAAAATTATTGCATAATTTAGTCCTGGGGACTGAGAACTGATCTCATAGCCCAAATGCTCCCTACTGGCCCTTGAATATTTTTGTAAGAATTATTGTGAGAATTTCACTAAGCATTGCTCATGTCTTTGCATTAAAAGCACCAAATGCTGCCTTCTTATTTACCAAAAAGAGAAAGGAAGATGGAGAAAGATGAAGATTCTCAACAGCCGAACACTGTACTTTAGCACCATGTATTCTGATTTGCAATTGCAATTTGGGTGACTAAACCCATGTTACATAATTCATGACATTCTGATGAGTAGGACATCATGACAGCTTCCATCAGATGTCAATGCTTGGTGTTGTTCCTTGTGTAGAATTATGGCATTCTTGCCCAAAAGTGGTGAGAGGCAGGCAGTGGGTGATACCAAGATTCCTGAATTGGCCCTTTCACAAGATTACTGAATCTTGGAAAAATCTCCCTGATCCCATACAAATCTCATGAGATTTCAATGCCAGAAGGGCAAAAATCTCACAAGAGACTTGTCATTTTGTGGTTCTTGGTAAGATTGCTGGAATATCTCAGGCTTGTATCTCAGGAGGTTGTGCAATTAATTTTGAAGGGCGAATTGAACTGGGATTTCATAATTGTGAGATTTTGCCCTTCAAGAATTCGTAATTTTGGATGTACCAACAAAGCTCAGCTGCATACACACACATAGGCTTCCCTCTGGGAAGCGCAGATCAAATCCTGCTGACTTCTTTGCCCTTCCAATGTTTTGAGCACCGTTGTTCAAATGATGGTGGCCAGATCGTTTGGATAGCAAGTATGTTTCAGCAGAGCTTTGGGATTCCCAAGCCATCTTCATGAAATTGCATAGGGCTGCTGCTTCCCTTTAACTCAGCAGCAGGCAAATGTCCAGGTGAAAACAGATTCTGGAAATAGGAGAGAATTCACAGGGAAGAGCCTGTCCTCCATCCAGTTACTCCTTCCTTGTGCAGTCTCATGCCTGCTCCACGACCTTTCTGCTATGCTCACCTGAGCATTATCACCTTAAGGAAGCGCAAGAGCAAATCACTGGGCAGAAAGAGCCAGGCGTTGTCTTTCCTGCCATCAGGAAGTTTTACTGGCTTCAGATGGTTTTGGAGACGTCGTGTTTGCTGATGAGAACCTCCAGGAGGCGGAGTTTAGCCTTGATATGCTTGTACTCCAAATATTCCTCTGACATGGAGATCCGATCTTCCTTCTGGGGACTCCTGCAAAACAACAAGATGGGCATTCAAACCTCAGCAAGAAAGCATCAAGGTGTCAGATCCGTGTATCTGCCATTCTTCAATGGAAGAAGAGGGGGGAAGTTGGTACAAGTAATCCTTTTTGATGTAACCTGAATATATTAAATCTTATATTGATTCTGCATAACTTGCACATGATATACAACTGGAGGACTGGAGCCAGAAGTCTAGAAACTTGTCACCTCTTGAAGAGATAACAATATGAGAAGGGACCATAAAAATTCCAGCTCTGGAAGATACCCCTGGGAACTCTCCTAAGATATGTTCCCAGAGAAGGGGAGGGGGGAATTAACATGTTGGTTCTTTTTTTTACTAAATCCACATTTAAATAAGGGGAGGGGTTCTAATTCCCTTTATCTATTACTGTATGCCTGGAAGCATCTTAGACTCTGCCTTGACTAGTGCTGGGATTCACTCCCTTTTCAATAAAGGATTCCTTTTGAAATATCTAGTTTTAAGAAGTTCATTCTTTTCAGTTGAAGGGGAAAAGTCCATTGCTTACACAAGGATTCACAATGTCCTTCTGGTCAGAAGACTGAGTTTTCTGTCAGTTCTGTGTATCTGCCATTCTTCGGTGGAAGAAAGGAGGGGGTTTTGGATGTGATACATTAAATTCTTTGCCTCTCTATGTATCCTAAATATCCTATTTCTTACATTGTCTTTTGTATAAATTTTTACATGATTTACAATTGTTGCCTGGTGCCCCAGATGCCTGGAAAATTCTCACCTCTTGGGGAGATGCAAGGGGAGGAGGGGCCATGTGGATTGAAGCACCAGGAAGATAGCTCTGGGAAACTTTCCTTATCTGCTTTCTCAGACATGCTGGTATAATAACATCTTCACACCTGCGGATTGATGGAATCCACATCGGACTGTTGGGAGGGGTTCCTAATTCCCTTTATCCTAGTTGCATGCCCTGAAGGACCTCAGATCCTGCTTTGAATTTTGACCTGCTTGTACCTCCCTTCAATAAAAAGATTCCTTTTGAAATTCAAAGTTTTCAAGAGTCTATATTTATTTTTTGAAGAGCGGAGAGGCTGGTCCTTACATTTTCATTACTTCATTCCTTTAGCCAGAGGAGTCCAGAAAGGGCAGGTGAGTGGGCAAAATCCAAATTGGAGCCACTCCTCCAGGCCCAGGAGATTTAGATGTTGATTTGCAAAAGTTAGTCCCAAGAGATTGAAAGGCTAAAGATATCCTGATGGCAGAGAGACCCAGTGGGTACTTTCTCTTTTATTATGCTAGGGCTTTCTGGGATCTTCTTTCCTTTCTCTTGATTGGCAGCAAGTATTCATTGCTAATAAAGACTGCAAAATCCCCCTGAGGGCTCGGTTGAATGTCAGCTGGACTCACAAAGGGGACAATTCCTGGCCACGTCTCTATTTCCTGCTGTCCCCGGGGTGGGGGGGGGAGGTATCATCTTCAGAACAGGGAAGGGGGAAACAAGTAATGGAGCCGTCGTTGCACTAATAATATCCTCAAAGCTGACAATCCTTGTGAATTTCTCCCCCATCAGAGATGATGGTGGGAAAATAAGTTATGTCTCTGAGAACTGATGCCCCATGTGGTGCACCAAATGAAAATGATTGCTTTGGGGGTAAGAAAACAGGGTCGCCATGCTTTGAAAAAGAGCTACCTCTTCTGTGATGCACCTACTTGATATGGTCCTTTCTAGACAATATATTTGGCAAGAGGGTCCTTTCTTACTGTTCAGGAATCAAAATGCTTGGAATTGAAAGGGGCAGCCTACCTCAGTTTCAACAGAAAAAAACATGAATACTTTTCTTGGTTATCATAAGGCTGTAAAATACCACCAAGTCAATGCAATGATGCCTCCAACCAACCCATTAAAAACTTTCTGTGGTGAACCATTATTTTGGGGAGGTTTACAATAGCTTAAATCAGGATCTGACCATTCATGGTGTTGAGATTCAACATGCATACGACTGTCTCACCTTCCTGTTTGTCTAAAGAACTCTTCCTCAAATTCCCGTAATACTTTCCTTATCCTTTTCTTGTCAGCTCTAGTTTCTCGGAGATGTTCCAGTAGCACAGGCCTACAAAAGAAGAACGGGACTTTTAAGATCTGAAGGACTGAAAAACTCCTAAGAGCTGATAGATGGCCGAGCAAATTGGGCTGCCAAATAAGCAGGCAGCATGCAGGCTGTCGCCTGGAGGCTCCCCTTGAGATGGAGGCACCCAACTGCTTATCAGAAAATTTTGCCTATTTAGTTCCTAGTGAGTTCAAAGCCATGTAATACAATGAGTAGTGTATTTATGATTACTTGGTAATAATAGATTATAGCACTTAGCAATAGCACTTAGACTTATATACCACTGTACAGCCTCTAAGCGATTTATAGAGCCAGCCTATTGTCCCCCAACAACCTGGGTCCTCATTTTACCAACCTCAGAAGGATGGAAGGCTGAGTCAACCTTGAGCCTGGTGAGATTTGAACTGCCAAATTTTAGGCAAACAGCAGTCAGCAGAAGTAGCCTGCAGTACTGCACTTTAACCGGAAGGAAGGAAGGAAGGAAGGAAGGAAGGAAGGAAGGAAGGAAGGAAGGAAGGAAGGAAGGAAGGAAGGAAGGAAGGAAGGAAGGAAGGAAGGAAAACAGCAATAGCGCTTAGACTTATTTTCCACTTTATAGTGCTTTACAGCCCTCTCTAAGCGGTTTACAGTGTCAGCATATTGCCCCAACAATCTGGGTCCTCATTTTACCCACCTCAGAAGGATGGTCAACCTTGAGTCAACCTTGAGCCTGGTGAGATTCGATCTGCCAAATTGCAGGCAGATGGCAGTCAGCAGAAGTAGCCTGCAGTACTGCACTCTAACCAGTGCGCCACCATGGCTCAAGATGGATTTACACCAATTGTGCAGATCTGCATTGTGCCCTAATGCTCACTTAGAACACAATCGCCAAAGCGAATGATGGCACTTCTTTTCAGTACTCTTTCCAATACTTAATAAGCTTAATAAATGAATGAATGAATGTATAAATACATGAATGAATGAATGAATGAATGAATGAATGAATGAATGAATGAATG